TTTTTTTTTTTTTTTTGTCAGCTACTGGAGTCCTTTTTAGCAGTTTTTGCTTTTTCTAAGCAAACATAGAAGTGGTTTTACAGTTTCTACTAAGAAAATGTAAAAACGACTATTAAAGAGATATTTTATGGTTTCTAATAATTACGAGTACTAAATGGCGTCAATGCATATTGCCTATTTAAAGGACTGATTTTTGTATGGTTACAGGTAGATTTTATTCGCCTTAAAACGGCTTTTATGAGATTGTTTACATCGCTACAAACATTGCATACATATTAAGGTGTCACGGTTCTTTTCAATACGATGAAGATTCCCTCTGTGATAAGCACAAGTAGCTCAGAGCACGTAATATCATTTTTATTAATTGTTATTATGAAAGAATAGAAAATCTGAAAATCCCTACGAAACATACACAAATTTCTATTAACAACAAACAATTTGGCAAATTTTGTAAAGCGTATTTGATCCTATTAACCTTATTTTCCCCGTTTTTGTCGCTCACCTTATCTTTGTTGGCCAAGTCTGTAAGCATACTCAACGATGTCGTCAACATAACTGAACTACCGCTGCACATCATAATAGCAGACAAGAAAACAAAGTTTTTACCCGCGGTTTGAGACTGGAGCTGAAACCAGATGCAGGATTGAAGAACCACGAGAGCAGCTGCACAAAATGTCCACTACAAGAGAGAGATAGTTACGTAAATAACCACTCACATCAACATACTGAATGCATGTATGTAAAAGTACCTTGGTCCTGTAAAATCAATTTTACAGTCTGTTTACAAACAATTTACACATGATTTACATACTATGTAAACGTCTGAGGTTTTTCAGTGAATGATTCTGGAAATTCATCCGACACGTATGCAGACTTGTGCAAATGAATCGTCACGTTATTATAGCTCACTTTCTGAAGTTTTAAATAGWATTTCCCCGTGACGAAGGGTGTAGCCACAAACAAAGATGAAGCATCTATGGATGTACTAGGAAGCAAATTACACTTACCTTATTCCCAAGTATCTTTCTRACATTCTTAATGAGAGTGTTAGCAAACAGTTCCGTTATTAGAAGAATCAGTGGAAAATAAGCAATAGACTCCTATGGCGAAATTCAAATTCATACAATCAGTTAGATACACAATAAACTTTATCGTAATATATAATAAAATCGATTCGCTTTACGCGCGCTCTGATTGGTCAAGAAAAGCGCTCTTTATTTCTCTAGTACAGGGAAGACTCCAGTATKACTTACCTTGCTAAAATACAACGTATCCGTGACGTACAAAATGAAGTAAAACTGCACGATATTTATAACGATACGTGAGCAAGTATAGACGACAGCTAACTGAAAGAAACGCAACAAACAATCAGTCATTATTGTTAAACGTATAAAGTAACTTAGAATCGCATATTAACATCTTACAAATAGCAGCAAAGGCTTCATTCGATACAATTGTCTCCCTCACAGTTCCCTAAGCCATCTTGAAAGGTAGCCGTGCCTTTGCATCGAAGTGAGACAACCGTTGAGCTTGCAATGATAGATACCTGTGAATATTTGTACGTAGGTGTGAAAGAAGGTTTCTATCATTGCACGTTCAACGGTTGTCTCGCTTCGATGCAAAGGCACTTTTCAAGATGGCGGAACCGTGAAGAAGACTAAAATTCTTTCATTCATTATTATGATATTCATTTTTGTGGCTAAAGTGCATTCTGGGAATGTGTAAGAACGACATGTCATGATGATGGGCGTATGACCGAAACCCAAGTAAGTTCAGCTTTAATTTGTAGTCATGCCTTTGCAATTAAGAGAGAGAGAGATTAACGGCGAACTTTCAATGATGCCTTTATTTGTAACCAGCATATATTAAGTATCTATCATTGTATGGTTAATACTCGTTTCCCTTTGATGTTAAGGTACGGCTACCTTCAAGGTGCCGCTGTGAACTTCTGTAAGTCTCCTGGAAGAAACTCTATCTCTTCATCTCAAYACGCCATATTGTCCGACTATTTATCAAAAAACAACGGTTGAAGTTCACTGTGTTTCAAGACAAATTACCTTATAAAACTCTCGATCATTTAACCATTGTCTCCAGGAGCGTCCGTCACTACTGACAGTCTGCGATGACAAACCAAGATCTACCGGTTGGTTGAGAAATTCCATGCTATTCTCCGTATATCGACGTAGAACGTACAARTCWCGTGACGAGGCCTTGCGACGAATGACCTTGAAGTCGGCCCTTGGAGGGGGMGGTCGCTCAGCACTGGGTTCATTTGTTCCCCAGTGAAAGACGAAAGAAAAGACAAAACCAAAGCCAACGATGACTAGGCTGAGAGTCTGGGAAATAAACATTATGCAGAATGGAATGTTTATCCATATCAATAGTTTCATTAGTCAATATTGYGATTGCAATCTGAGAGTTATTGGAGTTGGACGAATTATGAAAAACTCTGTCACTCACTCGCTCACTTTCCTGTAAACTTGAGCCTGCGATCTTTTGACGTTTCATCGCCTTGGTTTACCACAAATTTACGTAATTTGACTCTCTATGCATTCCGTGACGCCATATCGGCGCCTTAAATTTAGATGTACTTTGTATTTCTTGACTATGGGTTGGTTAGTAAGTTTAGTGAGTGTTGATTTGGTCGTGTTCGTACTGTTCGAGTATCTAACTTACGGTAAAATAGTCTTCAAGYGCTGGTGTCACTCGTCTTCCATCAGCTTGACCAAGTAGTATCCATATTGTACAGAACACAAACACACCACAGCCAAACGATAGTCCAGATCTAAATATGACGTAATACACAGATTATCTATCAACCACGTCTAACTGAATAAACTAAACGTCGGGTGCAACATGGCGAAATCACCGAAGGGGATTTTAAGAACTCATTCAAATCATATTTTTCTAAACGTGTTRATTATAGCATTACTCGGAGAGAATGTTGTTTTGTTCGGTGTAGTTACTGTTAAACTGTTAAACTCATGTCATTTCTTTCCCAGTTATGCTGCCTTTCGCTCTTAGCTTTAATGATGCAACCTTCTGGCACCCGAGCCGTACATATAGACAATCATATGTTCAACMAAAAATGTCTACTATTAATTTGACATTTTTTCTGGAAGTTTCCCAGTTTTCGTCACGGCAGCCATGTTGTTGTAGCTTCACCACTATTATCCAAAACACCAACATAGCTGCCAATTTTTTTTCCGTTGAATTCCAGGATGCTCCCAATGGTTTATATTATTTTTTATTTTTTTATTTTTTAATAAAATATTTTTTTGATTTTTTTATGTTGTTGTTTGTTGTTGTTTTTTTCTCTCTCTTTCTTCATTTATTAAGAACATAAGAGAGTGGCGTGTTAATAGCATCAATCTACAACATATCTTTTGCGAGATGTGCTTACCTAAATGTGATAATAGTTTGTAAAGTCAGTACGATCACATCGTACGTGTTACAGTGTAATGTGTTACCATTTTTAAAGCTATACATGCAGAATATAACCCCTTATGGGAGCACATGAAATCACAATAAAATGAATGGATATAAAAAAAAGAGAAAAAAATGAATAAATGAAATTAAGTAATTCCCTGCGACGAGAAAAGGATTTGTCGAAATTATTCAAGTCAGAAATGAGATGTCACAGTAAAATTAAGCAGCGATTTTATGCTCATCGCGTGCTTTTAAGACCTCAAAAACGGTAACCCGTGTGGCCGCCTTAGGTGTGAAAAGAGAAAACAAAATTCAAAATAGCACAATCACTGCATGTCAGCTAAAGAAGTGCACCAAGAGACGTGCGCCGACACAGTGAGACAYGTTCACCGCTCAATTAAGCTGTGGCCTAATGGAAACCACTTAAGGTTCGCGAGTTGGTTGGAATCTTTGTTTATGGACTAGAGTCTTTGTTTTTAAAAAAGTGGTATTCCATTTTACTTGGATGCAGTCAGGTGAATGGATTACATATGACGCATTTGTTTAATCCATTAAACTCAGAAATCAGTTTTTCACACAATAACATGATACGCCTCATGTGATAATAGTTTCTGTGAGTGATTTATCGAATATTTTGTGTCAGATAAAGCAGTTGTACCAAACAAAATGTAAATTAAAATGTATTTTTTTCGTTCTTCCAATTTTATTTTATGTTTCATTTCTCCACTTAGCTAATTTTCCAAGGCCACTATAGAACGCTAATAGTTTCTGTGAGTGACTTATCGAATATTTTGTGTCAAAAAAATCAGTTTTACCAAACAAAATGTAAATTAAAATGTATTTTTTTTCTTTCGTCCCATTTTATTTTATTTCATTTCTCCACTTAGCTAATTTTCCCAAGGCCACTATAGAACGCTATAAAGAGCTTTATAAAAATTAGTATTGCTTGTAGATATTATCCATGAAGATTCTTACCTTATAGCATTTAATTCAGCAACTTCCTCTTGCTTCTTAACAATATCGGGCGTTAAAGACAAATGAGATATACGAACAATAGACCATCCAATATGYAACGACACAACTGCCACAGCATARTAACCCAACTTAGCTGAATCGCGACTATCATCGTAGCAAACTAAACAAGGACTAAAAATCAACGGCCATGACACAAAAACAAGMAGTGTACCAACTAGATGGAACAGYTTTTTCCTTCCATACGAAGGGAAAAAATTCGGAAAACATCGGTCAATGGMGATTTCAATAAACGGAGTCAGCAACGCCTCGGATATCTGCGCGATGATAAAGATGTACCCTGCATGGAGTGGGGACAATCCTACGACCTTGTTGAAGTATATAATYAAATACGTCGACCATACAATGTAACATAAGTCACTAAAGACATGGCCGACACTGAAGGAGACGCGTTGTTTTAAAGGTAAAGCGATCGCTCCTCGTCGATACCTAGGGTCATTGTGTTTCACATCTTTCCAGATCTTCTCGGCGATGGATACCCACTCCATGGCGATTTTTTTCATAAGTGGGCAAAGTTCAGTGCTTATCTACCTAAATCTCTACCATAGATAAGGAGAACCACAAAACCCAAATGTGGTCACGTGTTCTGAGCACGAACTCACACKTTCATTTTTAAACAAAAATGATTTTGTAGTGGACAAAGATGCCTMTATGCAGCGAATAAACTTCAGCGTTCTGKAAATTCAATCGGTTTTTTAAAATTCAATATATTTTTTGATAGAGAATGGGAATTAAATTATGTAGCAATGAAGGTTGTAATTGGATAAAAATAGCAAAAACAGACAACTAATTTTGGCTAATGTGAATAACTAATTGACCACACTTTCACAGTAAGTAGACCACCAAAAGGGGGCTCCTCCAAACACAGACCACAATTGGCTCGAATTGATTCAAACATTTAAGAACGAGATCAAATAAATGAATTATCAAGCATTACAACAGCCAGGCTAATGAAAAAAATGCAATATTTATCGACAGAAACAGCCAACACATCAAATCKTYCCATTGTTAGTTCGCTTTATTGGTCTAAACAGAAAATAACAACATCATGTGTTGTGGTGTTTAGTGTTTTTGMGTTATCTAAATAAAAGTCTTTTCCTTTTTAAATGTTTCGTGTTTATATTAATTGTGTTATTTCAATATCAACATGACAGGTACTTCATATCGTAAAACCATCTTTAACCGACCTCTAAGACGCAATAGAAACTTGTAATACACATTTTCTCTACACAAATCTCGCCAAAAATCTCAAAATCTAAACATGGAAAATAAAGAGAGAAAAAAAACAACCTACGACATTACTCAGGCATCTTAGCCATTAAGTCGCCAAACGTTGTTATCATTCTTAATTTAGAATGACCGAACTGTGGAGATTGCAGACAAAAACAAGTTTTCTTTAGAAAACCGCCGAGTAACTTTACAACTGTAAAGTATAAGCACCACCTTGATAAGRACATAGTGTACATAATAACAGATAAAGCAACGTTTACAAGGCCATACGCSATACAAAGATACCCAATGGCATCCCACTAGGGTCTTGTGAAAACACAARAAAGTTTTTTTTTATTTTGTAAATATAAAACGAGCACCTTTGAGGGCAAACATTATGTGGGATTCAGCATTTCTTTACTGCAAGTCATTCAAGTGATTATAGAGTTGTAGCAATTCGTTATTCATCTTGGCTAGCTTTACTTCATTCTTCATTACTTCAATTTGCAGCTCCAAATCAAGCTAGCAACAAATCAGATTATCACATAACTAAATCGCTTGACAAATCAATAAGAAAAGAGGAATACAAATAAATAACCCAAGAAAGAGTTAAATAAATTTTCAAATGMTAAACCAACCGAATAGATGATTATTTATAAACCGCAAAGCAAAGAAATAATAAATAAACAAAAAGAATGGCATAAATTAATTAACACAGAGAGCTAGCAAGCAAATAGCTATAGCTTGCCGAAGTTCGTCTCCACCTTGCAAAATATAAACTTATCAGCGYGGTTCCCATTTCACTAACTCCGTCATTGTACGGACAACCGTAGTAGCTAGCACTTGCCGGCCTAGCCCGAACACGTCCCGACTGGTATACGAATTGCGCACAATGAACATGATTGGTTAGCTTTGAGTCGAACGTAAGCACTTGCCGGCCTAAACCCGAATATAACACGAGTGGTTTACGAATCAACCGCCATGAACGTCATAGGTTAGTTTTGAGTCGAACGTTAGCACTTGCCGGTCTAAACCCGAATACATCCCGAATGGTATACGAATTGCGTGTACTGAACGTGATTGGTTAGTTTTGAGCCCGAGAAGTATACGAATTGCGAGCGGTACATGCATGATTGGTTTGTTTTAAGTCGAACAGAAATTGGAGTTTTAAACAAAAGAAAACGGTGTAACAACAAATTAGTTTACCTCTTTTTGTAAATTGCTATCAAAACCGGCGGAAAGCTTTTCCCTCTCATAAAGCAATTCCTGCTCGGCATTTCTGCAATTGAATAAAATGCAAGTATTACGTCGAAATTATGGTGTATCCAAGAACCAATAGTGAGATTTCTTTTACAGTTATTCCAAAGRAACATTCCTCTGTTTGATGGGGAATTTCTGTATTTMAATAGGCCTTTTGCATGAAACGAGAGCAWGGTACTAAATCTGCCACAATGAATGGCAAAAGAATGTAAAAARCCTCAAAAACAAAAAGAAAGAAGCCCGGCAAACTTGACTTTTCTTTGTTTTGAACATACCAGTGGGTATTYTGCCATCAAGCATGGTGGATTTAGTACCATGTGACCGTTCCATGCAAAAGGCTTAWTATTTTTAAGGATGCTTAACTTACCGGGACGCTATCATTTCTCTCTCACGCTGGAATTCAACTTCTTTCAGATGAATCGCTTGTTCAAGTTTAACTCTGTCAATCAAATATAGTGAATCAGTTTATATTTTTTATTGTCTTCGAATGAGTTTAAACAATGAAAAACACGSTTGAAACCAGAGCCAAAGATATTCTTGGTTTGCAGCTATGTAACTGATGTAACCCATAATTCCTTGAGAAATAAAAAAAAAAAAGAGATGGCAACAAAAACTTGAGAAATCTTGTTTGGAATATACCAATATGCATGTCACCCGTGGTATCGTGTTAAAAGAATAAAAATCAATCATCCTGTTAACAATAGTCTCCTTCACGATTCCCAGCGTCATCTTGGAATGAGAAAAACTTACTTTCACACAAACAAACACAGAGGTATCTATGATGGCAAGCACAACGGTGGTCTCGCTTCGACGCGAGGCACAGTTACCTTTCAAGATGTGGCTGGGAACTGCGAGAAGACTTCCCTCACTTCATTTACACAGATCAACAGATGTCCCACAAACATGAAAATATCAATATTTTTCAAACCTTTCGTGRTCAGGGTAAAGTCCTGGAGTCTTCTTACTTTGGTTAGTGGTGTTTCTTTGAAGTGTRTTGTTTTCCTGTTGAATACTCCGTAACATCATCTAAAATAGAAATAACGAATAAGTGTGTACCATGGCCATTTCGTAACCGTATCATAACTATATCATAACCGTATAGAGTATAAAAAACGTATCGTAAACGCAACGGTATAAATGAATTGCAAACGTACTGTTATCAAATCTCAACCACATGGTAACCGCATCGTGAACGTACCGGAAACGTACCGTAACTGTATCGTAACTATATCGTAACCATATCGTAACCGTATCGTAATCATATGTTACGTGAACCGTATCACAACCTTATCATAATCGAAGACCTATTGTAACCACATCGTAGCAACACGTAAAGTCTCACCTCAAGATTCTGCAGCTCCATCTCCAGCTTACCCGTCTGTCCAGGACTAGTTCG